ATTGACTTGTATGCTAAACTTTGTTTTCCAGGTGTTATTTCTGCAAAGTCGCTATGAAATTGACCAAGGTTCTTTCCTATAAGTTCGCGACCGTATCTCTTCTTAAACTCTGCTGCAAGCTTTGGTATGTCTTCATTGAAAATATGCATGCTATCACAGTCCTGGTAGAAGATTTGAAGTCCCATATCTTCTGCAGTACAGAATACTTCACACATTATTCTCTTCGACATTGACAGAATGTTAACACCAAGTGGACAGAAGTTAAAGTGTCTGCAAATGCTTTTCGTTAGCTTGAAAATAGTTTTATCTGAACACATCCAAACCTTCGAACTTCACTATATGGTTGTAGTTTCTGATGGCATATCTTATAGCATCTTTGTCATTTACTATGGTTATTTTTGACTCAATAGGAGATAGAATAGTTTTGCCATAAATACTGTTCAGAATGAGCTTTATATTTTCTTGCAAAGGATTCCTTCTTTCTTATACTTTAACCTTAACTCAAACAACTTCTTTACTTCATCTCTTATTCTAATATCTCTGTTTCCATCGTAATAGTATCCTTGCAACACTTCACATTTGACACCTTGATATTTTATGAGGTCTTGTAATGTTATATGGTCAACATGCATTAAACAGCAAGTGTTTGAACTTCTGGAACGTTAAGTTCTGGATTTAGTTCAGGGTCACAAACTATTAAAGGAAAGTGTCTATGTATTCCAATCTCTGTTATCTTAATGAGAACAAAAAGAAGCCAGACATAAACTTTTCACCAATGGGTTCCTTTTGGTCGTCATCGAATAAATGTCTCATGAGATACTCTGTGCTTAACATTTCTTTCTTCATAACCTTTGGAATACCTTCTAAAGTATAAAGTCTTGCTATAGCTGATGGATATAATGAAACAGCGTCGAAATCAGCAATGAGTTTCTTTTCGCTCTTTTGTTTCATGTTATCTGACAGCATACATCTTCCACCTTGAATACAGCGTGAAATAAATTCTCTTGGTTTATTTGAGAGGTCATATAAATTTCCATTCGGGAAGTACACTCTGTTCTCAAATAATTTGTTAGCAATTGAACAAATACTAACGTAGTCATAAACGTTTAAATCAAATTCTTTCAATATGTCATTGCGGAACTTAACAAACCTTCTCTTAAAATTCTTACATCTTGTTTGCAATAGAATGTGCTATACTTTTCTAAGTCGAAGTGGTTCTCATCTATTCTGCAACCTTTGATGGAATCTATGTTTTTCATGAATGTATCTGCATCCCGGATAAACTTACATGCTTCAGAAATGACACCAGTTCTGTTGTCATTTGCTAACAAAGTACTGCTGTAGTAGTTGTAAGGAAATACTTCTTTCAGTCCTGTTTGTAAGTTAAACATAGCAGGAAATAGTTTAAGCTTCTTATTTATAACACTGTAAGAGTCTTTTATAATAATTGCCCTTCCTTTATATAAGCCAGTTATTTGCATTGTTCGTGAACCTTTAATGATGGGAGTTCCTTTCACTTCTGTCATGTGTCTTAAGATGAAGTTTATATCATAACTGAGGTTATGGAAATATATTAAACTCTTGTCAGGAAGTCGCTCCAAAAATTCTGTTGCACAGTTCTGACCCCAAATGCTTTCACTCACAGAACCATCTTCACTGTCGTAACAGATGTTAAAGGCTTTATGAAAGCCGTCTGTGCTACACTCAAAGTCAGCAAAGAAAACGTGCTCAGGTATGAACTTACACTTAGCATTATTTACTTCTTTTGACTCTGCTTTCTCCTTCAGTCGAACACAATACTTAGGAGAATATGACCAGTCTTTAAATGGTGCAAGGTTCTGTTTATATAAGTCAGTCGTATATGTGAAAAGTTCTCCATAAGAAATAGGTTCGAAATATTTGCACTCCCACAATGTTTTCATAACATCCCATAGAGGTGTAGTTCTATCATTACGAACAACATATTTGTTCTCTCTCTTTGTATAAATCTTCATCTGTTTCTCAATGTTCATTCCACCACACTCCTTCAAGATTTCTCTGTAATTTCTGATGAAATATGTTGTCATTGGTAATCTTTCATTTAGCATGTAGTGGTCTTCAACAAGAAGTAAGTCAATAGTTCGAGCAGTTTCACATTCTTTTGGTATGTAGTGAATTATTCTGTTATCTTTGGAGTTGTCGAAATAACCAATGGTAACATTAAATGCTATACCTGTTGCGTCAGAAATTTCTTGTACTTTACTTTGAGGAAAGTCTCTAACACGAATGACTTCTCTCATGTGGTCAATAGTTTCTTCATTTACTCCAGCCTGAATGCAAGCATAAACGAAGCAGTTATCTTCTGTCATAAGTGTTGCAGTTCTTTTGTTCAGTTCATTGAAGATTTGGTAGCGTTCAAGATTTATAGGTAATGTGCAAAGATACTTCCAGAACTGCCGCTTCTCTTCTTATAAAACTTCTTTTCACCATTATCTTTCCAAAAGCTTTCTATAAGTGCTGGGTTTCCTGTTTGCTTAAGAGCTTCCAAAATGGCTTTCTGGTCATTTGTCAGTGTGCTTTCATCTCTATATGGTCTCTTTTTTGGTTTGCCTTTCTTTACATCTGACATCGTTAAGCCTTCATATTCTGTTAAATCATACATCTTTATTTCAGTAAGATTCTTTATGTTTGTCAAGAAGAAGTCATAGTGCATTTCAACAATACCTGCAGCATTTGCTTCTATCTCTGATATAAAGTTCTCCTTCAAGAGCTGATGTAGTAATGTTCCAATATTATTGAGGTTTAACGTAGAACATTCATACTTTCCACCAAGTTTATAACATACCATCCATCTTTGTTGGGAGTTTATTTTAATCTTCTCTAAGAGTCTCATGAAAACCTTACCGAAATGTTTGTGTAAGTAGTCTCTGTTTGGTTCATCTAAAGCTTCGATGTTAAAGTCAATGAGTCTATTGCCTGACTTCACATTTCTCTTCTATTCTCTTCATCTTTCTTTAACCATCTCTCACCTTCTTTTGGTTTGTCGTCAATGGAACGAAGGACATCGTTAGCTTTGCGAACTTGTTCTATAGCACTTTTAAACATCTCTCTTCTCTGTTGTTTCAGTGTGTCGTCTCTTCTTCTTGTTTTGTTGTAAACAGAAATTCATCAAAAGTGACACCTCAGAAAAGCTAAAATATTGAATTTTTTGGAACTTTTGATAGAGCACGTTTTAAATATTAATTACAGTAAATGTATATTTTGTAAAGATTCTTTTTAATAAAAAAATAAAATTTTGAAGAAGAACACAAATCTTCTGAAAAATAATATCACATAAACTCATATTATTTTCTAATATATAACTATTTTATATAAAAATCAAATTCAATGATCTTAAAAGCGAAGGATAAACCTCAAAATTTACGAATATAATGAGTGGGAAATATAATGCTTATCTACATAAAACCATATGAAATATCAATTTTTGCTTTACGCCTATTCCCACTCATTATATTCGTAAATTTTGAGGTTTATCTTTCGCTTTTAAGATCATTAAATTTGATTTTTATATAAAATAGTTATAATTAGAAAATAATATGAGTTTATGTGATATTATTTTTCAGAAGATTTCATTCTATATGCCTATGAAAAGTACTCACAAAACTAACTTTTTCTTAATTATAATTAAATCTAGAATATTGTATTATGCTTAGTATTATTTCATTTTTCTCATTCAATTTAGAATTTACAATTGTCAAAAAATTGAGAGCTGTCACTTTTGATGAATTTCTGTTTATTACAGTTTCACCAACGTTTGCATTTGTTATGTCAAACATTTCTCTTCTTACTTCATGAGGTACTGAACGTCTATGATATAAGTCAATAGCAACGTCATTTAAAGGAAATGCTCTTGCATGGACTTCGTCCTCGCCGCGTTGCGGCTTTATGAACTCATGAATTCTATCATAACTTATTGCACCATTATAGTCATTGAGGATGTCAGCGAGTGCTTTTTTGTTTGTCGCGTAATGTTTTGCAACATCTATGTTAGCTTCTGTAAGAAGTTGTTTTATTTCCGAGTGTTCTAACTTAGACAACTTCCGATACATCTTTAGTAGGAAATAAAAAAATTTCTTAGAAAAAAATTAGCTTAGATTTTTTAAGGCTATTTTTAAAATATTTCGAACTTTTTATTATAATGAAACACATGCAAGATTGCAAGTTCTTTTCATACAATGCTCTCGCTACTGCCATCAAGAATGAGTTCAATAATGCTTCAAATGTTAATGTTATCTTTAACAAGAAGTTTGTGAAAGAATCTAAGTTCGGTCAGTATGTCAGACCATTAGCTATCGTCATTGACCGCAAACGTTATACTTCACAAGAGTTAGCAGTAGTTTTGAAACAAAAGAGTTTCTTCGTGAATGTCAAAGATACTCATTATACTGTTATAAAGAACTCTAACGTTGACTTCTTCAGTATTGCTATGAATCTTTCCGAACAGAAAGAATATAAGAAGGGTGAAACATCTGTGAAATATTATCCTTCATCTCTGAAGACAATAACGAACAAAGATGTTATACAGAAATTCTTACCAAAGATTGAAGAAGCTTCTATTGACATTGACGAAGGAAGTGAAATGGTTGAAGAAATAGACCCTGAAGCTATTTAAGCAAAAATATATTTTTGGTGAAGAGGTGAGATCTCACCCGTTTTTTCACCTCTTTTTTCACCTCATTCTCTCTTCGTTAATGTTGTCGTGACTTTATCGTTAATGTTGTCGTGACTTCTTCGTTAATGTTGTCGTGACTTCTTCGTTAATGTTGTCGTGACTTCATTCTTCCTCTTTGAAGATATCGAAATATTCTGTTATTTTTTCCTTCAGTAATGTTAAGTCTTCTTTGAATGTAAGTATTGTGCAACCTTTGATGTCATAGTGTGTTTGAGGTAACGTATCTTGAACTATTTGTTTCACATCTTCATTCGGTGTCATTGAAATCGGTAAGTTTTCACGATAGAACCAGTTTCTGTCAGATTTATATATCTTAGCTAAGTCATAAAAGCTCTTGTTGTTTCTTCTGACTAAATGTAACATAACCATATCTTTATCTTCTTCATTTTCCAACTCTTCAGTATATATCATATACTTATAGCTCTTTTCCTTTCCTTTTGGTACTGAACGTGGTATTCTTTTCTGTATGCTTTTGTCTTTGGATTCAATGACTTCATCTTTTGCATGAAGTTCCTTTTCCATCTCTCCACGTTCTGCTTTATATAGTTCATCTAACATCATGAAAATATAACAAGCATAACGGGGCCAAGCCCACATTGCTACAGCATTTACTAAAAGTCTATGAACAATAATAATCAAACCAGGAGCCAAATTCTTGCGATTTTCGTACGGAATCTCTTCCCCCGGTTTTCCGAGGGAAGCAATCATATGAGGAAATTCTTCTAAAAGTTCTTTTGTCTGTTGGTTTTCAAACCAATGATATGCTTGCTTTGTAGAACGAAGAGCATTCATTATACTCTGCATTTGGTACATGTCATCTTTGACTGAACGAATGAGACGTAACTGTTTGTTATACTGTATGTACTCGTATTCTTCATTTATGGCTTCATGAACGATAGCAGTTGTTGTGTTCTCTAATGTTGTCATTACTGTTTCTTACATACAAGATAAAAATTTTTGTTAGAAAAAAATTAGCGTTATTTTCTGACTTTCATAAAAGACCAAAAATAAACGCTTTACATGTATTTTTCAGCAACATCGTCAAATAATTTTATAGCTTTATCTATCTCATCTACTTCAAACGTTTCTTTACCTTTCATGGGAGCACCATACATTTTCTCAAACTTTTCAAGTAGTTCTGTTTCTGCAGCTCTCATATCATTAACGAACACAACCTTGACTCTATTGACTGTACTGTCATATCTTTGAGTTATATTATATGTCCCTTCCTATCTTATATCTTTTTGTGTTGAAGTCCTTCGGTTTCTGAACGATATAAAGTAAGCCTTCACTGCAACGTTCCGTATCGAATGAACCATATGTTATGAAGTTATATCCAACAACTGGGTCTAACCATAACAAAACTATTGTATAAGACTTTTGTCAATGAGATATGCTGTAGTTCCATAGAATCTTACGATATCATAAGCTCAGGATTTCTTGTCAAAATTTTCTGAGTAGAAGCAATTCTAACCCAGTCCTTTGTTTTCTTTTCAGATGGTGTTATAATGTCTGACAAAGAATATTTGTTGTATTTCTTTGAGTATCTTACGTTTAAATCACCTATTCTAACCACTTTGGTGTCATTGTCTATCTTTCTAACTGTTTCAAACTCAATGTTTGACATTACTGTCTTTACATACAAGATAAAAAATTTTCTTAGAAAAAATTAGCGTTATTTTTCTAACTAATGAAATTCATGAAATTTGGTCATTTTTCAGCAAAAATAATGTTTAGGGTAGAAGGTTAGATCTAACCTCATTTCTACCCTCATTTCTACCCTCATTATTTATAACCGTTTTACATGGTAAACGTTATGAATTCGTGAGATTCTAAACAGTTTTGTAGCTTCTATTTCTTCAGTTAATATATCGAATGTTTTAACAATGCCGAAGGTTTCTTTATACTTCTTCTTGACGTCAGATAGAAGGAAATCGTCAGCAGTTGGATAGTTTTTGTTCAGAAATTCTAACATGTCCATTTTATCTTCTGCTGGCTTTTCTGCTTCTTTCTTTAAGTCTGCATAGTCGTTTCTCATACGTTCTATCTCTTTGACTGAGTAGTTATATTTCCTCATTGCTGCTTTACATTTTGAACATTGCGGCATCGTTTTTGCGTTATATTCTGAAACCTTACCTGCTAAAACAACCAAGGCGTCAATGGTTTTCTTTAAATCTGAAGCAGTTGGTTTTATCTGTTCATTCCATACCTTACCTCTTCTATCTTTATCTCTTATCTGCCATACACATTTTGCAGCTAATGAAACAAAGTTGTCGTATGTCTTAAACTCCACCGATTTATATATGTCAGAGATGTTCTTATATACCATGTCGCAATCTTTGTCCATAACTTTATGGTTGCAATGATATCCTAGAAACTCATAGTTTACTTTACGTATGAACTTCTTTATTTCTACTGAGTCAGTTGGTTTCACATCTATTTCATCGAATTCAGGAATAGTTAGTTTTTGCTGCTGAATTTCAGGCAATTTGGGTAAATGGTCAATAATGTCCTGCATTTCATAAAGATACTGTTCATTTTCTTCATCCTGTGCGGTACAGTCTAAATTACTTGTTAAAAGTTCTTGCTTTATCTTCTGGATTTCTGTTTCGAAAGTATATGAAGAAGGAATGAAGCTTTTCATCTCTACTAACATAGATGTTGGATTCATGACTAACGAGTTTGGTGCTGTAGTTGTTTGAATTGTTGTTGTGCCGATTGTTGAAATCATATCTTTTATACAAGATAAAAAATTTTCTTAGAAAAAAATTAGCGTTATTTTTCTATCTTAAGGAAATTCATGAAAATTCATGAGACCCAAAGGTCAGAGCCGCAAAGCGGCTAGGGTAGAAATGAGGGTAGAAATGAGGTTAGATCTAACCTTCTACCCTAAACATTATTTTTGGTCGTTTATGACAAAATAAATGGTTCATTTACTCACAATATTTTTGTACAAAACGACCCCAAACTTTTAACTTCTTTTCTGCAGCTTCTAATGCTATCTTAGCGAGTTCATATTCTCTAAATTCTCTCTTTTAAATCTTCTTGTTCCCATTGGTCTAGTTCGTATGGAGAATCTCTATAACCATAACACATCTCACGTTCATGTTCTAATTGTTTTTCATGCATTTTCCTAACTTCTTCTTCAAACAAATGTTTTGCATTCTCTACTGTATCTTCAAGTTCTTCTTCATCTAATTTCTCATGAACTTTCTTGTCTATGGAGTCCATAATTTTTCCAACTGCTATGCAATATTTTGGAGAAGCCCACATTGCTATATAGTTTATAAGTCTTGGGTCTACATACGTTCCTCTAACCTGTCTGATTTCATCAGGAATTCCCGCATGAATTTTGTATAAAAACCGACCGCCGGAATTCCGGCGGTTGCTATATTCTTCACAAAATGCCTTATAATACTCTTCACAGGACTTATTTTCCAACAACTTTCTAAAGTCTTTCCTAAACTGCTGACACATATTTGTTGCATTAATGTAACCATCCTTGTCTCTACGTAAGACTTCAATACCGTTATAAGTGCCTTTTGTGAATGTTTCGCCATTAGACTTGTTCGTGAACGTTTTTGCTTCGACTGACATTACTGTTCTTACATACAAGATAAAAAATTTTCTTAGAAAAAAATTAGCGTTATTTTTTCTATCTTAAGGAAATTCATGAAAATTCAAGAGGGTAGAAATGAGGTTAGATCTAACCATCTACCCTAAACATTATTTTTGGTGAATTCACCAAAAATAAATGGTACCATTAATGATATCATGACTGTTCTCATTCATGTCTGATTTACATCTAATGAAAAAGTTTAGAAGAATTTTCTTATTCTTTCTGGCATATTTTTGTCTTTCCAGTACTCCCGCTCTAATGGTCCCAGATGTGTTGGCTTTGACTCTCTCAAGTTCTTAGATGGTATAACATCTTCAACGCCTCCTTCATATCTTACTTTATAAGTGTCATCGTTTATGTTGTAGCCAAGTATTTCAATAACCACTCCTCGCTTTGCTTCGTCAATGGTTTCAGCAAGTTTGCCATTACTACTTTCGACTAATTTATGTCGAGGGTAAAACGCAATAGAGTCGTCGGCAGCTTTTATAAGATATCCATTACCTTGCGTAGAGTCTACGATATAATAGTTTCTACTTAACCTTAAACGTTTCTTTGTCAACGGTTTGTCGTCAAGAACTACACGAACTTTTGTACCAGAAATGAGGGTAAATTGTGTTGAATTTCTGATATTTTGTGTTTGGCTTCGTTTCTTTTGTATATACTTTTCTTCTTGTTGTTGTGTCATTGAATTTGGTGTATGTCCTGTTGTAGAATGTGTTGAGGAATTATATACTTCGAGAAAATGTTTCATTGTTTCTTCGGTAAAGTCTCGCTCTTGATTTAAATCTCTGAGCGTTCTTATGAAGCGGTTTATGATGCCGAGTATGTTATGGTTATGGTCTTCAGTAGTGTAGTGAGTTATGTTATGCTTAATGAGAAATTCTGTGATTTCATTACTGAGGTATGCACTGTCTTGGTCTGATGTTAAAGTACTTGGGCTATGTTCTGCTACAAACTTTTGTAAAACTCTTAACACTTCACGAGTTCCTTTATTTTTCATTGGATATGCATATGCTTTACGAGTGTTAACATTAATGAAAATCAAAAATGGTTTATGACCTCCTTTTCTGCTTTGAATGAGAGTGTCAATTTGGTATGCGTCAGGAGTGTTGGAGTAAATTGGTAAAAAGTAGTCGTAAGGGTTTATTTTTGTTTGATGTACAACATTTTTGTCAAAGAACCTTTTCACTTCAGCTCTGTTAGTAAATCCCCAACTCTTTGCTGCTTCATTGAACTTCTTAAATGACCTCCATGGATGTTGTTTGAATACTTCTTTCAAGCTCATTTATGTAAAGTTAAAGATTTTATTCTAGGCTCAAGCGCGTTCATTGAACGCGGTACCATGCGAATATAGTCACAAATGGTGGCATATAATCTGCACCCGAGCCTGTTGGATTTGTTGTGAAAGTGTGGACATGATTTCCTCCCGGTTCAGTTGGTCGAAAAATCTTTTTTGCTGAATTGTTATAAGATGGAGATAAAACGTCATGGCCAGCTTCATACTCTGAGTTGTATAATGGGTGGTCTCTTAATGAGTGGCTATGGTCGCCAGAAAAGTTTGTCGTTCCTGTATGAGTGTGCGGCGGAAGGTTTGCTTCTTTAATTTTCTTTGAACCTCCTGCTTGCTTTGAAGAGTTAGTACAATATAAGAATTTGTCTACAATCTGCTTCCATGTACCAAAACCTAAAACACTTGCTGGATTTGTTGAGTTCATTGACGTATAAATAGAACTAACAGGATATAATGTTTGAAGTATTTCATTTTTCATGCTTGTAATCACATCATTTACTTCCGACTTCTTTGCATAATTTTCATCTACATAAGTTTTATCTGCTTTAAGGTCTAAACATCCTGAAACCCATCCTGTATCAGCTTTAACTTTAAAAGTCTCCGATGTCCATTCCATATCCGCCTTCTTCTCTAACTCATCGTTAACATAAGTTTTATCTGCTTTAAGGTCTAAACATCCTGAAACCCATCCTGTATCAGCTTTAACTTTAAAAGTCTCCGATGTCCATTCCATATCCGCCTTCTTCTCTAACTCATCGTTAACATAAGTTTTATCTGCTTTCTTATCATATAAATCTTGAGCAGTGAATTTAACATTATTTTCATCATCCATGACATAAACATTTTTACAGCTAATGCCTTTCGTCGTTGTTATGTTTTCATTCGATGTTAAACCTTGTGGAAAGTTAGGAGGTTTATAATATAATGTATCCCCACCAGTTCCTTCAATACTTTCTATAGCAACAGTAGTGAAGGATTTATGTGTATGGTTCTTGTCAGCTTTACTATTTAATGTAGCTTGAAGTTCATTTATATCGGAGATATTGTGTTTATGAGATTTCAAAACTTTGTTCATTGCTTCAAGTTCATCTTTGCTGGCTTTACTTTTAATAGCATCTTCAAAAGTTATTTTTGCCTTAACTCTCAAAGTAAATCTTGGTTCAACTAATACACCGTTAACAAAGAAGTATGAAGCATAAATTTCATTGTTATAACCAAATGCTTCTGGTGCTTTACCTGTGTCATACTGTACAGTACAGTGTATGTCATAACCTTTAGCACGAATGTATTTATATCTTCTTTCATTAACATCTTTCGTCTTCACTTCTTCATCCTGTGTTAAATATCCATGATAATCCGTTATAATCTGTTCCTCTGAACTTATATAATGAACATGGTTTTTATCTGCTTTTTCTTCAGCTCTTGAAGAACGTCCACTTCGCCATCTTTGGTGTCAATAATGAGACTTTGAGTTAAAACCTTTCCTGTCTTAATGGATGTTTGTAAAACTTCTTCTTCACCGTGTTCGGGGTCATAGTCGTCATCATATCTTGTGAAATCAGAGATGTTGTCATACATTAAGCATATCTGTCTCAAAAGTTCTGCTATTTGAAACTGGAACGAAAGATATACAGAACTTTCATCATCTCCTAAAGTCAAGTCTGCTTTCTTAAGTATTTCTTGAATGTATGCAATGAGAACAGAGTACCTTGGAAAATATTCGAACAATATTTCATTAGCTGTTGGTTTTGGTGGTTCTTCTGGAGTTTCTGTTGTTTCAGTTCCTTCTGTAGGTTCTGTTGGAGTTTCTGCATCTCTTGACTTCAATGCTCTTGCTCTCAAAGACCTAAATGTTAGAGCACCAGGTTTTACAAAGGACTTTATAAATGCTTTAATAGTTCCTGGTAAGTTATTGTTAGCATTAAGTAAGTTCCTTATGCTTCCATCATGTACGTCCATAGCACTATGTAAAAAATCTATACTTTTCTTATAGTCAGCAATAGACTGACTGTGATTTTTTAAAGATTTGTCAATACCTTTAAGCCAATCTTCATGCATGTCTGATACTGAGCCAAGAATATCATTTGCTTCCTTTAGTGTATTTTGTGCTTCTCGTAATGTATCCAATCCCGTACGTGCATTGTTTGCTATACGTCTTACAGTATCTATTTGACTCCTTGTTTCTTGCATCCAACCAGATAAAGTTTTAATAGTATCCGAACCATTTGAAATGAAGTTCAAAGCATTTTTAACGTCATTTAAAACTTCTTCACCAAGTACCGCCCATATCTTTCCGATTTGGTATTGAAGAACTCCATATGAAGCAGCTGTTAAACCAGTATTTATAAGGTTTCATATCCATGATTTAGCAGTTTTTCCATCCTTTCCATCTACACCATCCAAACCGTTCTCGCCTTGAGGTCCTTGTATTCCTTGTATTCCTTGTGGTCCTTGTGGTCCTTGAGGTCCGGTGTCACCCTTCTCTCCTTTCAGTTCATCTTTATGTTCGTTATAATATTCTAATGTCATAAGGTGTACATCATTACTGCTACCAGCAACGCCGAGAATTTGTTTCTCATTCATGACTAAATTCTTTAGGCATTTAATGTTGTCGTCAAATCGAAAGCTCTTTAACAATTCAATGAGAACATTTAATACTTTCACTAATGAGGCATCTACTGTTGAATTTATATATTGCACAGTTCCATCATTTATGATGGGAACCTTGCTTGTTGTAATGAATGGGTCATAAGTGTTAAAAGTATCGAAATCAATGACTTTTTTAGTTTTTCCATCGTCAATGACTAAATCATTGCCTTCAATGGTTAAAGTTGAGTTTTCGTTTACTAGTTCATGTGCTCTTCTTGCTTCATTTGTTTCATACGCATATGCAGCAATAGTCATATTTTAATGAGAATAAAATGTTGTTCTATTTGCAAAGTACAGACCCAAACGAATACGGGACAGTAAAGCTACAAACAAACTTAGGTCTTCAGAATGAAGCGCTTGCTTTCAGAGTTGTTGACTTCAATACTATCGCAACTTTTGTCATAACAGATGAAACAGATTTCATGGAGATTGAAATAGATGACAAAAGAAGTGTTATAACATTTCCTAACAGAGCTGGGTATAGAATAGATAAAATTGCTGGAGTCATAGATACTCTCATAAATGAAGAAACTATTGACAACATAGATGTCGAACTCTCTTCTGAGGGAACATTGAAGTTCAGTTATGCGAAGGAGTTCAAGATAACACGAATGAGTCATAGAGTTCAATTGCTTCTGGGTGCATACCATATGACATTTCCTTTGAAAAGTGTTGACAAAACGATTGAGATGAAATCTGTTCCATATGTATGTTATGGCAACTGTTTATACATTGAGTCTAAAATAGCTAATGTCACAGGTATTTCAGGAGTTAATAGTAAAGGTTCAGTAGAATATAAGTCTTTCTGTTATGCAGTCAATTCAATGTTCATTCCAAACGTTCCTGTCATAGCAACTCATTTAGGTAAATGGGTTCGCATTAGTCCTCATAATTTGAAAGACATGCAATTCAGACTTGTTGACTTTCAAGGAGAGCCTGTAGAACTGAAGGCACCAGTGCGAATGACTGTTGAAGTTGACTTTTTAGAAAATATTAAATGCAACAGCTTACAAGAGAACTCAGAGCTAAAAATATAAAGTATGACTGTTATGTATTAGGTCATGAACTTTGGTTGTTGCTGTTTGATGAAACAAATGAGTTAGTTATGTCAGTCAAGAGAACAGAAAAAGGCGTCAAAGGCGCCGAGCGCAAAGCGCTATATTGTGTTAGTGAAAACTGCACCAAGTCAATAAGATTAGGTTTGCATTATGAAGATGAGTTCGATACTGTTGAAGAAGTTTTGGATAGATACAATAAGTTGTTAACTTGAATTTTTTTTGACTGACTGCTTTAATTTACTAAAACATATTTCAAGCAAAGCTTATAGTCAGTAGATAGTTTTGTATACTCGTTCGAATATTTATACTTAAACTCAACTCCTGTAGTTCCTGGAGTTTCAATGATGCGGATGTTACCTATTTTCATGAATAGTGGAGTTTGACCACAGCATTCGATTTCAGGGTCGAGATAGTCAATGACACATTGTTTCCCTGTTATTCGTGATATAACATTTTCAAGGTCCTCCTTTGTTAGAATTATTTGGTTCTTGCTTATAAGATTTGTCAAAAGCTTCTTATCGTCTTTGAGTAAAATTGTTTGGTATAACTGAAGAAGGTAATGGTCTACGTTATCTGAAGGATTTGTTTGAACATTTGTGTAAGGGTTGTCGTTGGCTTCTCTTGAAAGAATTTGGTCCAGTGGTGGATACTCTAATTTAACATCTGATGTAGCGTTAGCGTTTGAAGCTGTGTTTAAATTCACGGCGCCATGCTCCAAGACCGAAGGTCCCGACTTAAGTTCTGGTTCTTTTTCTTTCAAACACTCTGAACTATAGTTCTTTATGACAATATTGTTTGTCGTTCGTGTGTCAACATTTGATGTTGGTTCAATTGGAACATTAACGGCACCAGCTAAGATGGATTTGCTTCTCATTTCATATAGAATAAAAACCTTTTATATGTATGAAATGAACAATATACTCGACAAGGGTTTGAATGCAAAGCTAACGAATGAAAATATTGTTGAATTCACTGAGACAGGTGCTGTGTATAAAGATGTAGAACTACTGAACAAAAGAGCTAAGGGAAGAAGCAGGAACATGAACAAAGGGTGGAAGCCTATAAAAATTTATGTCAATGATGGCTCAGGAGGTTCAAACATAAAGTATGCAGAAAGTTATAGAGTTTATGCTCTCAAGGGAGAGAAGCCTTCATTTAAGAACAGCTATTCTAACGCATATCCTCAAAAGCTAACGGATGGGGAAGTGGATGATATGAATGACAGCAAAAATATTAACAGAAATGGCGACAGAGATGCATGGAATTTGTTTACCATCAGTCAATTGAAGGTTAAGCTTTAAAATAATGTTGGTCGTTCCCATGGAATATTTTTGACTTTAATGGTATTAGTCATGATATGAATCTCAAGGTATGAACGAGGAGAGATGAGAGACTTATATGCTTCCCAAATTTCTTCAAAAGGTAATGTTATACCTGACTGTTTCCAAATGAGTTCAATGTCATAGCGTGAGAAACCTTGAAAGATAACGAAGTCAGTTATGAGACGTTTTATGTTTAAAGCTAAAAACCTCCATGTTTGCATAAGTATTGCTACAGTTAAATGGTAATGTCTGACTTTAGTAATGATGTTAGCTAATGGTGAGTCTGGTTTTGACACTAAACCTTTACCAGCGAAGTCGTCGCAAACGAGCAGAGTGTTTGAAGGATATTTTTTGAATGGGTATTTTGAAAGTTTTGATAGAATGTAGTTTGTCAGTCGTTTCATATCGTAAACTCCTGAGTACTGACGTAAGTGGTGTTTGTCAATAATTCTTTCCATCTCCTCAGAAGTCTTTTGCATTCCTGACTGTATAAATTCAACGATGGCATAATATTTCCTCTTACGTCGAATGTAACGTTGAAGAAATTCAATGAGTTCACTGTCTGGAACTTTAACGACAGAGGCTTGAACTTTTGACATAAATGTTTTCGCTGTTGAGTCCATAGAGTCTGAAGTTGCTGATATAATGATTTGGTCATAATATGAGTCATTTCCTAAACGTTCTGTTATGAGTATATGACGAATGAGGTTAAATGTCTTACCTGAACCCATCTTTCCACAATAGAAATAAACACCATTTGAACAGAACTCATAGTCCTTACTGAAAGGAAGAATGAGAGAACTGTTGAGTTTGTCTGTAGTTTCATTCATGTCTTCATCTACGTCATGTATTAAATGCTTCATTTTATCTCCATTAAAAATGCAAGTCAGAAATATTCAGAACATAGCACCGAGTCTAACTGACAAGAGTATAAAGATATACTATGAACACGTTATGATGAAACCTACCAAAATTCAAGAAAGTCAGTATACTTATGAATATCCAAGACACTGGGTAGAGTATGTAGGAGGTGAGAAAGCTATTGAAATCAGGCAGGTTCGAAGTATTCCAGCAGGAAGAACAATATTATTGAAGAACTTTAATGTTTTGAGGTATAATGATGAAACAAAGAAGCAAGATAGTTTCCCTGTTGCTGTGTATGTGAACTTAGATACAGGAGATGACATGAAAGTTTTTAACACAAAGCTTCAAACGGTAGTGAGAGAACAACTGACTGCGGAAGGACATCCATTACCTTCAGAAGTTACCATAGCATATAATTTTGAAACAAACTCAATAGATTTTAAAGTCATCTCTGCAAAGAAGTCAGGTTTTACATTTAATGAAGCAGATGTATATTCGAATGAAAACTTCAAAGCTATTGCATGGTTAGATAATGACGATTGCTTTAAGAAAATCTTTAAATTCAGTGACTCAACGATGTCAATAGATGACCTTCGTGGAATGTTACCATCGACGTTTACAGTAGAAGGTTCAGCAGGATTGCTTACAAGATTGTCAATTGGTGGTATTTGGTCTCGTGAGAACATTGTTATAAAATCCAGTATAAGTGAATTTGCTGAAGAATCTATATTATGTCTTTCAAACTACATGTATTCGCCGCCGAAGCATTATAGTATAACAAACTTTGTCAGTAAGTTTAACATAAGACTTGTCGAACCTTCTTCAATGAAAGATGTTGTGCTACCTAAAGATGGAAAGGATGGATCATTATTGAGATGATTTTAATAGCATATTAAATGAGCTTGTTCTTGAAGGTCATTCATGATGAAATAACTGTTGTAGAAGATGTTAGCAATTGTTCAGACATTTTGAAGCGTATAGATGAGATAAGAAAGAAGTTTATGAATGAGAACGTTTATGTTTCATTGACTTTCTCCAGTAACGAGAACTTTTATGAGATAATATTGAAGAGAGATGATTTTAATATGGTGTAAATGGTAGCTTGGGCAGCTTTAGGCGCAATGGGAACAAAAGCATTAGCATTTGGAGCAAAAGCACTTGGAGCTTATGATGCAGTAAATAAAATGAGTGGAGGAAGGGTTTCAAAGACATTAGATGCAAATAAAGGGAAGATTGGAGGCTGAGTTGCAAAGAAGTTAAGATTAAATAAAATAGGGCTCATAAATAAAGCATCCAATTTGGTTGCGACTGAGTCAGAAAATGCTTTAGGAAAGGACGATGAGTTTGCAAAACACGCAAAAGACTTTAATGACCAGATGAAAGGTGAAACAATGCATTTAAATAGATTCGATGGAACTAAAGAAAATGTTTCTTCTCCACCAGTAGTTCTTCCGTATGGTCCCTATGGAATGTATGGAAACCCTTACGAAAGACCATTTGACCCATTGACTGGTGGAAGTAACTGGTATCATTACGGACGAAGAAGAAAGACAGTCAAGTTGGAGACAGACGTGAAGAAAGCAACTAAAAAGAAACCAAGGAAGAGAGTTATAAAGCAATGAGAACGTTTATGTTATGAGAAATTTTTAACGTTAGTTTTATTTTTACTGAAAATTTTTATTTGGATGTAATGACGAAACTATTGAGATAACAAACTACAACGGTCATGAGTTCAAGAACTTGTTCTTCGTTCCGCGTGAGAATACATTCTATCAGATACGAGGGAGAAAGGGTAAAGTTAGTTTAAGCATTTATGATAGCAAACATAATGGAAGATATATACAAGCAGTAGATACAAACGGTAAGCGTGTTTCATTACATTTGTCAAAACTTACAGGTATAAACTATGACAGTGACTTTGACCTATATGAAGAAGAAAGTGAGTCAGAAGATTATGAGCTGTTATATGAAGCACAGCAATGGGAGGAGTTGCAATACTTTTGTAAGTGAGAACGTTTATTTTTTACATTAGTGAGGTGAAGTGGTTGGCGGCTTTGTAAATATTTAAGGTTAAGTTAGTGTTGTCGTTTGTGTGAACGTTAGTGTGTACGTTAGTGAGAACGTTTATTTTTTCATGCACGTGCATTGTGTCGCGGGGAGTTGCCATGGGCAATGACCTGCGCACAATATATAACGTACAGAGAGGTGAGATGAGGTGGTTTATGTGATAAATACTTTACGTGGCAGAAATAGTTTAAGGTTATTAGAAATATTGCATCTGCGATGTAAAATATACGTTAGTGGTTTTGTAAAGTGTCAGATTGACATATAATGGGTAAGGAGGCGCGCAGTGCCACCGTACTGAAGATATGTGTACTAACTATAATTTGAATTCAATACGTACATAACATTACTAAATGTATTTTAAGATAATACAAAAAATTAAGCTTGCAAAAAGATATCGAAATGTAATTTTCATTAGATTCAAAGTTCTGAATAGATTTTGATTTTAACTATTGATGAGTTTGTCAAACCTCTATAATAATAGAATGTAGAACTAATTAAATATAATTAATAAAAAAATACAAATTTAAGTGATATTATAAGAGATATATGTGATGTTACCAATATGATATGATATTGGAGAACTGATAGAATTGTGATGTGAGACTAAATATGATTTATTATGAATAGGAGAATAATATTAGAAGAATTTCTTGAATTTAATGTATCTGAATATGTAATTGGGCATATATTCTATATATATATATTGGTAGGTTAACTAGAAATAAGAAGATGAAAGATTGTTAATGAATAATATGAGATTAAGCGAAAATATATTGTTCTAATAGATGAGTGTTTGAGATCAATATTATGAAGAGGATATGTGAGAGGAAATATGTATATTTAATAAAATAAGCGATGAGAGAAAAATAACAAAGATTTATATGAAATTTTGAGTATTGAAAAAGCTCGATTGGTGATTTTATGTCTGTTAAAGGAATAGATATTCTAGGAGAAAGATAAATTGAATTAAAGAAGAATAAAAAAAGTTGATTAAGATTGATAAAAATATTGAATTGTATGACAATGGAAAGAAGGAATAAATTGGTGTTGGTATGACGGTATCATTTCGGGAGACATTGCCTCTGCATGTCTCCCAGAATGAGACAATCTTCTGCAATCAGAATGTGATTGCAAAACTTTGACCGACAAGAGTGTATTGTGCACTCTTTTCGGTCGCAGTGTCTCATTCTGGGAGACATTGCCTCTGCATGTCTCCCAGAATGGAACAATGTTCCGCATTCATAACTTGAACGCGGAACTTTGACCGACAAGAGTGTATTGTGCACTCTTTTCGGTCGCAGTGTCTCATTCTGGGAGACATTGCCTCTGCATGTCTCCCAGAATGGAACAATCTTCTGCATTCATAACTTGAACGCATAGAAAGCTGCTCGTTCGCAACTTTGTGTGCAATCTAAGAGATGATTGCGGTAAAGATGCCGGGAAGATTGATGCTGCAGCCCCAGGCCGCACTCAGATTTCATTCCGCTACACAATTGTTCATCCAACAACTGTCATAGAGGTTGAAATTTTCGACCAGAAGTGAAACATATCATTTTTAAGACTGCGGCGCGCAAGCAAGTTTGAACCTTTCAAGGGTGATCAGTCCTTTACTCATTTCAAGACCTCTTGTTGCCTGATAAAACGATTCTTCATTCCTTGTGGGCCATTGAAAACCGCCCAAACCGTCACAACTTGCTTCCTAAATTTTATTTGCGGAGTAATTATCATGCATATTTTATCGGATAATAATATCAAAGCTAAATTTCATATTATTTTTTTAAAGATATGCATTTTCTGTCTAAATTTATTTTTTCTGTTTCCAATTCACGGAATAATATTCTTACAAGCATATACATAGCTAATATATATCATTTTAATAATAATAAAACCAAAATGATGTATTCTTCATATAGTTATTTAAAATTCGTTAACTAGAATTGTATTCAGAACGAGGCAAAGTTAGGAGATACATAAAAACTAATAACTTGATAAGTGATACCTTTTTCCTGATATATCTATATGTAGAGATGTGAAAACTTAAATTTTATAATCCCTGGGATGCACTTTCTTCGATTTTTTTAAATTTTTGGGATAAATTTTGACATCTTTTTTTTTGCTGGCGACCCCCTCCCGTTCACAAAAAAAATATCGAGCGAAGGGGGGTCGCCAGCGAGAACCTTAAAAATAAACTTTAGAAAAAATCTAAAAAGAAAAAAAGCGAAAAGGCCCTGGAGTCGAACTGGGGAACTTAAGGCTTATACTATGACTCTTACCACTGAACTATATTATCTGTGGATCGGTGCTTTATAAATTGTAAATATAAAGATTATCATAACGAATTAAAATGTAAAATAATAAATATTACTCTTATATATTATTAGATTTTAAATTACAAAATAATAATAACAAAAAAAAATATTCATGACCGGAGGTTTTAATTAATGTTTAATGAAAGAGAACGATTCATTATAAATTATTGAATGTTAAATTGTTGTAAAAACACATTGAAATATTTGTGAAGAAAATGGCTATTTAATATTGAAAAATAAATAATAACAAAATGTTTATTTCATTTAGTTGCCATTAAGATATGACGGCTATTTAACAAGTTTTTCTTGGATCTTAACCGCCTAACGTTCAAAATTAACCTTTGTGCTTTGATATTACGTTCACATGTTGCCTCCGAAGGAGATGAACATAACAAGCGTAATGCTATTTCCGCAAGGATGGATTTTTCTCCAATTCTATGCGAGATCTCTTCCCAAGCATAATTTTGTGCCTCGTCCATCAGATCGTTCTCAAAGATGTCTGATTCCTTATTGATGAACGTATTATATAACGAGAGTACAAGCGTTTTTTGTCTTTCGTTCAATCGGAATTGAACCAAAATGCGCTTGAGGTAATCTTTAGCTGATGTTAGATCATTTTCGGCAGTCTGATGATTATCCTCGCGTACATCTTGCAATGTAAGCCTAAGTTGATCATCAGATTCGACAATTCTACGAAATGTGCCTTCATCTGTTACATCAATTACAGCGTTTGTGTTACCTTCCTCAAAAATAGAATCCATGTAAATGTCCTGTAAATCTTCTGCCGGATCTTTATCAGGAATATGCTCACTTTGAAAGGAACTCAAGGGATCGGCCAAATCTTCTACTTCTTCGTTTTTAACAAACTTTCTATGGAAGTAGAACCTTCCTCTCGGCGTGAGAGAGAATGCCAAACACCATAGCCCACCAAAGTCAGAGTCCAAGGTATAGCTATCCAATGAAGATGCCAAGATAGATCCGAATGCATTATGCAAATTGGATGTCAAAAGATTGAGAGCTGATATGGCTTTACGAAGCCAAATGTAACAATTTGCCAACAATGCCTTATCAGATTCGAATACTAAGATTAGCTTTTTAAGAACAGCTAAACAATCTTTCAATTGTACGATTTTATCGTGATCTACATTTATATATTGCTTGATTTTGTTTTCGTACTTAAGAATAAAGACACATATATTATAGTCATATATCCATCTGGTGGATACATGCTGTGGACATTGTGCACCTATATCGTCAGCATGAATGCGACAAAGTTCTGCAATTCTGTGCACATCCTTTACTAAACTTTGTAACTGGTTGTTCTTGCCAGCAATATATTGATAGCTGTTGTGGATTCTGTGACACAAACAGGGAATAAGCAATATCTTGTAGTATTTTGGATCTCTGTCATGATAGAATGAATCATTCCAAGTATCTTTGAAGCATTTTAACTGTGCTGGTCCTCCGTCAACCACCACACTACCTATCTTGACTTTCCTAATGTCAATTCTGTTAAATCCTGCTGTTATTGCGGATTTATAATCCTAACTTGTCTGGCCATCCTTCATATCTATCGCCTCTACTGGGTATGGCTTCATTTGCTCCAACGGATTTGTTAAGACAAAATCAAGATTGTGGTAATCATGTTATGGATGGTAGTTCTGGAAAAACACCTGGTTTTTGGAGTTGCAAAAGTTAAAAATTGAGGGTATATAATAAATTAATAATGCAAAATTTCCAACCCTGAAGAGATAATGTGATTGCCTGATTCTACCAAGTTAGTTGAAAATTTTTTTACCGAAAAGATTACTCATTTCTTTTAAATATTATTGTTTTATAATTTTATTTTCTTTAATGTTTATTTGAAGACTTCAATAAACGTTCTCATTCTTTGTGTGACGTTATGCAGCTTCTTTGCAAGAATATCAAACTTATGTATTCTTTGTGTGACGTTATGTCATCAATTTTGTTCAATTAATTTACAATTTCTGTCCTCTGTTCAATCATAATGTTTTGTAATTATGCTTTTCATTTAAATTCATTAAAAAGATAAATTTCGACATTTAAAAATCTGTCCTCTTTGAAAAATTTTGAATATTATTCCGCCAATTTTTTAAATATTTGCTTCTTAGGTTCAAGCTTAATGATGATCAAATACATGAAATTATTCAACAGAAAAGAATTGTTATGCTATTTTATAAATGCTCAGATATGCGATTAAAGTTTATGTATGTTTGTATGTAACTATATTTGTTTAGAAATAAAATTATGAACTGGGGAAATTAAGTATGTTTTTAGGCTTCTATGAGGTGCCACTTAATCCATATGTTTAAAGGCTGTTTTTCAATGATGCTTCACACCAGTTGTCATAAATTTGAATTAAAGTCAGATTTATACATATTTTAATTGTAATTTTTGCTAAAAATGATTATATTCCATACATATACGATTTGTGTTAATATTAATTTGTGTTCAATTCAATTTTGTGCAAGAATTCCAAAATATGTTAAACTCCTTTTCTTTTGTAAAGTCTCTTATTCAAATTTTTGATAGAGGTTCACTCAATATTGAGGCAGAAAAACGATAGTGAGACTTTACGTAGGAAAATGTGTTTAGATTCTAATTTAATTGTGGCTGCATTCGATCTATAAAAATATATTTCTAATGTTTAATGTTATTTTGTCAGAATCGTAGCAATTCTTGTCATATTTCATAATTTAATATTTTCATAGCGCAATATTGAACTAGATAACAAATAATAACATAATCCATTACATTTGTACAGCTATTGACTATTGACTATTGATTTTTTTTAATAGTAATAATAAATACGAAACTGACATAAATTTTTGAATTTTACATAATTTTCAAAAGATTTAGAAAAATTTAAATCTAAGGATAGAACGCACAATTTAACCTTTATTGGATCCACTAGAATTTAATTGTTTTATTCAAAATTTTTATATATATTTTAACTTTTATTGCTTTTAATTGCAATGTAGAGAGTATAGATCTGCAATTTTCCCAAATGAATGGGGTGGATAAGATCCCAGCCCTATCGTCATCCCAGTGTCAATTTTACAAAAAAATTCTTAATAAAAATTTTTATTAAAAAATTCTTATCTTTTTTCATTGAAATTTAAATAATAAAATAAATTTGGCTGTAAAAACCATCAATTATTATAATTCTTATCGAAACACATGTAGAAAAACACTTATCTTTTATACTCTTTCTATTTGAAACCTGTTTAGTTCAGTAATTAATAATAAAAATTGTGAAAATAGTGACTATTTAACTAAAAATATATTAAATGATGTAATAATGAGATATACATATATTTTTACGAATTATAATTAGAAATTATTCTGGTCTGGGAATCCCAACTCAAAATCATTGAAAATTTGAATATATTGGATGGGCTACCCATCCCAAAACTATATTGAAATTTTTGAATTGATAATAAATGTATCTATATCTAAGGTATATTAGAGAATTTTTAAAAATTATGCATTAAAAAATTGAATTTATTCAAAACAAATTGAGAATAAAAATGCTTAAGTAATCACTTCATTATTTCAACAATGATTGATGCAGTACCGACGTACTATAAAGACATTGAGGTCGGTACTAAGCATCAGTATCTTAGATATAAAAAACCAGGCGACAAGTACGGAAAATATTATGTTAAATGCAATGAACTAGTAAAGCGTCCTGACGGAACTATATGCCACTGTGCAATGGAAGAAATGCGTGAGGATCATTTCAAAAAATGGATCCAAAACAAACGGCACATATGCACACCAGGAGAAGTAGCATCACAACAAACAATCGATCAATACTATCAAAACGTCCCAGCAACAGGGCTTACACCTATATCGTTAGGGGATATCTATGAACAGCTTGCTACATTTACTGGAAGATTTAACTTGGCTCTGAATACCTTCTCAAGCCCAGAGTTTACAAAGCTAGTTAAAACCATTATAATGTATACTGCAGACTCGATGATATTGAAGTTCCCACAGTTACACAATGTTAACATCAATGTTGATAAACTAGCTTCTCAAATATACCAGCCTATTTCAACTGACAAACTAAGGCAAACAATGATACAAATTGCAAATTCAATCCATGTTGCAAAAGTTGATGAGTTTGCTAAGCTTGCCTGTACCTGTGTTGCCATTGATGAGGGGAAGACTCAGCAGTTTCACAATCTGGACTTCTCCCTCACAAATCCTCTGCAAAGCAAGCGGCCCTATCCTGTTGAGTCAATCCAAATGAATGGTGGAACATCTGAAGATTATATCCACTCGCTTACTCAAGGATTTAACAGAATCTTCATTAGAGATGTTAAGATCAGCAGTGTAGTTTGCGATGGCAATAAAGCGCAATTGAAATGTTTTCAGAAAGGATGGAATCAATCGTTCTACAACTCAAATGACCCAAGGTTATTCAAAATCTTGTTTATCCCGTGTTTATGCCACAGGATTCATAATTGTTATCAATATATGACAACAAAAGACGTAGCATTAGGAGCAATTGTGAAACATATCCACGAAATATCAGCTCTTTGTAGAATCCATGTTGAAGACATCGGAGCTCTCTGTCCAAAGCATGTATCCACCAGGTGGATCTATGATTATAATATTTGTATGTTTATTATCAAGTATCAAGACAAAATTTCAAGATATACGCGTATTGATATTGAAAACATCAAGTTCTTAAGAGACTGCTTGGCAATTCTCAAGAAGCTTATTTCCACGTTCGAATCAGATAAAACCAAGATATCTGATTGCTACGTATGGCTTTGCAAGGGTATTGAAGCACTCCAATACCTTTCCAGCAGCAACAACAATCCTTTTGCTGGAATCCTTTCAAGATCGTTGTTGAACTATACCCTTGGATCGGACTTTGGAGGTCTTTGGTGCTTAGCCTTCGCTTTTACACCGAAAGGTAGGTATTATTTCAACCAAAAATTCGTCCACGGAGCGCAGATCAACGAATCTCCGGCAATTAATTCATTTGATATTACAAACGTAACTTTCGTTAATCCAGTAGAAGACATTCAATCTATCTATATGGACTCTATCTTTGAAGAAGGTTCGACTGAAGTTTCTCTTGATATGGTTGAGGAGGGATCAATTCGTCAGGTAACTGCTACAATTGACCCTCCTATGCTTGATCTCGCAGATGTAACATCTAGTTCAAATCAGCCGGTTAACCATTTTGTTGCAGCTAGGCAGTATCTCAAAAGTATTTTGGAACAATTTCGTATTCCGGGTCAAACAATAACAGATATTATTACACTATTTAACACGTATATTAATAGTGATAATGATATCTTCTCTGATGATATGATTCAAGAACGTCAAGAATACGGTTGGGAAGAAATCTCTCATAGAGATGGCAATGTATCAATCTTTGCAGATATCGCCCTTCGTGTTATCTCCGCTTCACCTTCAGAAGCAACATGTGAGAGAACAATAAAAGACCAAAGATTGATACTAAATTTGAAAAGATTACGTTCTCACAAAATTTTATTAGATAGCCGAGAAATTTTAATGGCTACAAAATAAATATCTATATTTATTATTAAAAATTGTTTTATATTTTATCTGTTCAATATTTATCTCATATAAAAATTTGAAATACTTAATCAAAATTTCTATGTGTTTGTTTGAAAGAGATCGATAGCAATTCATATATCTTTTGAATTTGCTAATTGTGGTGATGGTACTATTATTATTAATTTTTTATTTTTTTTTTTTATTTTTTATTTTTTTATTTTTTATTTTTTTTTTTGATAATATACTATTTAGATTTATACATTCATTCAATATTATGAAATAAATATTTCTAAATTGATCTGATTAATTTTTCATTAAAGTTTATATTATCACCAAATAAATTTTCGAACCCTTAGAGTCATAGTTCAATGGTAAGAGTCATAGTATAATTGTAAAGTCCATTGGTTCGAATCAAGGGGATTTTCACACTTTTTTCTTTTTTAAAATTTCAGAGGTTTATTTTTAAGGTTCTCGCTGGCGACCCCCCGTTCGTCGAAAAAAAATTGATTTTTGCTGGCGCACCCTCCAATCACCAATTTTTTTTCGACGAACGTGGGGTGGGGGGTCGCCAGCGAGAACCTTAAAAAAACAGAATCCCAAAAAAGGTGACATTTTGGGTGTATCGTCTATAGTAGAGAGTAACTTAAACTAGAAAATTATCAACATTCATATGATAAAGTGAAAATCATGAAATTCATCAATGGCAGAATTTCCATTTATTTTATCGATTTTGCAAAATGCTATATTTGTTTATAGATTTTACATTATCGCTTAATAAATATTTAAACAATCCATATATACTTTTCAATAGTAGCGAAATTGGAGGCGGTGGCTGCTATCGTATTCCATCATTGGTTACTACGCTAGATGGAACCCTATTAGCATTTGCAGACATGCGCTCAAATAGTTGTTGGGACATGAATATCAATAATGATATCAAAATTGCACTTCGATCAAGCAAAGATAGCGGAAAAACATGGTCTCCAGTTAAAATCATAATTGATCATCCAGTAAATATATCTACATCGGATCCTTCTACAATTCTTAATACTCAAACCGGAGAAATTGTATTAATTTACAATTTATGGGATTGGACCCATGCCAAAGGAGTCTACAAACAATTTGTTACTATTTCAAGTAACAATGGAAACACATAGTGTGAGCCATTCGAAATTACAGACCAAATTGCTCCCCCAGAATCTGAAAAAGCGTTCAAATTCATAACTTCTGGAAAGGGTGTTAAAGCTAAGAATGGATACTTATAACAAACCCTCGTACATTCTCCAAATGGAGGAGTTTGGCTGATTGAATCACAAAATGGCGGAAGAAATTGGACAAGATTCGAACTAGAAATTAAACCTGCCTCAGAAACTAATATCGCTGCATTAAATAACGGAAATCTCATCCTAAATTCAAGAACAAGCCTTGGTCACAGATATCTTTACGAAATTGATCCAGTAAATCGTCAAATAGTTAGATCAGAAGAAAGACCCGACTTACCAGATCCTTCTTGCAATGGAGGATTCATGAACTACTTCTATGGAAAGTCAAATATTTTATTCTTTTCCAATGCCGCTTCAAGTTCTGGCAGAATTAACATGACGATAAGGTATTCTCTTGATGAAGGCCATACATTTTCTAAGGGAAAGGTTGTTTATCCTAAGAATGGAGGATATTCTTCCCACGCTATTACAAAATACTTCGAATTGGCAATGTTCTATGAATATCCAGATAAAAATGGACTTGCTGTCGAAATTCTTCGAATGAACTGGGTCATGGACCAGTAAATTATTCAAAATTAAAAACTTATTGTACTTACTATAGGGTGTCCAAAGGTGCGTTTAGCACAGCGCTCTATATGAGACTATTAAAGGAGATATATGCTGATTATAAATATATAATAAAAAATATGAATATATGTATATGATGAGTATGTTGTATTTTGGCGCCATGCCGGGATATAAAATGAATTTTGAGACAAGAGGCGGTTTCGCGGGAAATTTTGGCGGGATTTTTTTCATTTTTTTAATGAATCATAAAGAAAACATCCTCGCTCTTGCAAAAAAATGCAAAGACTGTAAAAAAATCTACGAGACATTGGTAAAATGCTTCGGTATGGATGCTCCTAGCTATTCCACTGTAACGTATCATGTTAGGATGTATCACTTCATGAACAAAAAGGCGCCCATCATAAAAATTGACAAAAAATCGCCGGATCAAAGAAAAATCAAAGCAATTCTTCAAGCGCTAGATGAAGACCCAAGAGCATCACTCAGAAGGATAGAGGAGATGACAAAGATACCACGTACAACAGTCAGTTATTATCTGCACAATTATTTGAACTACAAACTAGCGTATACACGTTGGGTTCCGCACAACCTTAATTCAGTTCAAAAAAAATCTAGAGTCCAATTTTCGAAAGAGCTCCTCTCTATATTGGGTGCGTATCAATCCAAGAAGTTTCGCTTTTTAGTAACAGGGGACGATTCTTGGTTTCAATATGCAACAGAAGCCAAAATCATGTGGATCCCGAAGGATGAAAATCCGCAAACATTCCCGAAGAAAAAAATTGACACACCAATGAAGATGTTGTCGGTTTTTTGGGGCGTGAATGGCATCATCGCAATTGATATTCTTCAAAAACCTAATACGATGAATGCTCAGTATCTAATTGACAATGTTCTTACTCAAATTATCAATTCTGATGAGTTTGAGAAATCCAAACAACAAAAACAAAAGTTTGCAATTCATTTTGATAATTCAAGAGTTCACAAAAGTCATAAGGTAATGAATTACTTGGTGGAAAACAATGTCAAAGTTGTTCCAAACCCAATTTATTCACCTGATATTGCACCCTCTGACTTTTATTTATTCGGCACGCTAAAAAAGAGAGCTGAAGGACGCGAATTCGCGAGTCCAGATGATCTTGAAAATTTTGTAAGAGAGCAATTTGAGCAATTTTCTCATGATGATTTAAAGCGTGTCTTTCAAGCCTGGATCGATCGCTGCGAACGCGTGATTGAATCCAATGGTGATTATATTTAAATAAACTTTATATATATGTAACTTGTTTATTTCTATTTGCAGTATTCAGGTTTGTGCTAAACACACCTTTGGACACCCTATATACTAATAATTATTTTTATTTTCATTAAAATTATTCATTCATGATGTAAAAAAAGTTGAATTTTTTAAAATTTTTGAACTATAATTTTTTCTTAAACCAGTTTGACCATAAACTAGTGGCAAATTATATCATGTATCATTTGAAAATTTGTTTACTATTAGATGATGGATTTCATTGATATTTTGTAAATTTATACTCCATATATGCTCTTTCTTATAAATTTTAGAATGATGTACATATCATTTATGATATTTACTTATAATTAGAGAGACTACTCCTATTAATCCCAACAAATTTAGTAAATCTTCCAATTTTATTAAACTATTATGAATATTTCAAACATTAACATCAAGAATTGGTTGAAATATGGATGATAACATTAATCTGTGTGGATGTTATTCATATTAATAAAGTCTATTATGCCAGAATCTTGACGGAAAGATTTTGTCGAAATAAATGAGATACTACTGGGAAAAATCACTGTTGAAATCGTAGTATCCTTCATAAGGATAGTATCGGTATATGCATATTGTCTATATAATGAACGAGGCATTATTACTGCTGTTTTATTAACAGAGAAATAATTGGCATAAAGATCAGAATATACATATTGGATGTCTTTCATTTGGATAGGAGAATTTTGGAAATTTTCACCTTCAAAAACTAATTCCGAGGCATTGTCACCCATAAATCGATATATGGTCATGTTTTTGATACTTATGGGCCTATATAAAACAGAAATTATCTTTTTAACGGTTTGAGGAATTATTAAATGTTGGATCATTTGGAAACAGTCAGTTGAAAAATTTCTCATGGTTATTATTCCGAATGGCACCGTAAAAACTTTTGCTTGATAGTTTGGCGGGATATTGATCAAAGTTTTCATATCTTTTGAATATATAACTTTTTGTAAAACTGTGAAATATTTATGATCAGGATCAATAGTAAATTCCTCAAGAAGATAGTTATGCTCGAATGGGCCCATCTCATGCATATAATAACAGTTTTTGGGAATATGAATTGTTTTAATTTTACTATGAACTATTACATTGTTCATTAGTTTTTCAACCGAATCAGGAAATTCAATAGAGAGAAGAGATGTATATTCATTGAAGCATAAATCTGAAATAATTTTAACCGGATTTTGAATAATAATATGTTGTGCATCATTTGCATGAGCTGTCTGTGGGTATAGTGTTTCATTATCAGTAATAAAAGTTAATGTGCGAGTTTGATCATTCCAGCTCAAATGAGACTAAAAAACACAGCCAACTAGAATTTCTTAAATAGGAGTTTATATAACCGTAAATATGATCGAAATTACCGGCAAAAAACAATTAAAAATAGATATCTTATTTTCTTTCAATGCTATTATACAACTTTTAATCCAAAAATTTGCCGGTAATTTCGATAACATTGACTTTGTCACTTTTCAATTAACAAATTTTCCTTGAAAATGGATTAAATTTCAAATTAAATGAAGACAGAAAATCAGTTTCGATTGGGCTTTGTACTTCATCAGATAAATCTTGTGACGAATTATCAAAAACTGCATACAATTCAACAAATTATGATCCATCTAATTTTGAAATACCTTTATATACACCTATAAGTAAATATCGTATTACCGATTTAGGTGTTGCAGCTTTCAGTAAATCAGGATTAATAACAATTAAAATCGGTCGATTTGTTGAAAGATTAGGATATAGATCCCTTGATTACTGCTCAAATTTGAGATCAATTAAATTCGATGCTGAATCAAATCTAGAAGTAGAATACGGAGCTTTTGCAATGTTTTCGAAAGTGGAAGAAGTCACTTTTCCAAAAAGTTTAAAATCAATTGGAACATATTAATATAAGAGTATAAAAGTTATTAACTATTTTGGAAACAATTCTATCAGATGTGAAACCACATTAACAACTTCTACCACAGTTAATGTGTTACCAATTTATCCTGATTCAACTTTTTGTGGTATTCCTGTTAAAGTATTATATGAAATACCTACAAAACCTTCAATATCTTGCGAGTTCCATTATATTTATAGATTTAATACTTTGTTCATGTTTTTATTAATTGTAATATAAACTATTTTAGAGTTGTACTTACACTCATATGACTTTAATTCTACTTATGACAAATGTATTGTAGATTTATTTAATTAATAAATTAAAAAGTGATTAATCATCTGAGAATTGAATAATTATTGCTATTCTAGTTAAAATGTTATTTTATTGTAGAAATTTTATGTATTATGGTTCCGAATTCAAAATATATAAGTTATATAAATGATTACAGTTCATTAATTGTGTACTTTTTATTAAAATTAAAAAATAACATGATTGGAGGCTATGCTATACATACCTTAGTTCTCCCTGTTTAAATAGGTCCAAATAATTCATCACATCGTTTAAGTTTATTTATTCAAAGAATATTCAATGTTTTAAGAATTCAAGATAAGCAAATATTTTGATTTTTTTACTAACCTTAATAAAAACTGACATTTTTTATCTAGAGGATATCCTCTAAAAAATCACACAATTATTTCATGAAAACGGGTTTGTTTATTATTTAAATTCTGATGGAAAGACCGTTTCTATTGGTAATTGCACTTCGACAGATATATCTTGCGAAAATTTAACATATCCTGCACTCGATCCTGAGCTATATGATTTAAAATATTTATATATTAGCAACTTTATTATGGACAATCAATATATTGTTACAGATGTTGGAGTTGCAGCTTTCAGATTATCAAATTTAATTTCAGTTAAAATTGGTCGGCTTATTGAGCGAATTGGGTATCGAGCATTTGACAGATGCTATAATCTTGTAAAATTTGAATTTGAAGATAATTCAAATTTCCAGATAGACATTGGAGCATTTTTATACTATACAAATGTCCAAAAAGTGACATTTTCCAACACGCTTAAAGTTATTGGTCCATATTTCTCAGAAAATGTAAGTGAAATACATTATTATGGAACTCATTATATAACTTGCGAACAAGATTTTACTAGAGATATTTCAATTTACGTTCTGAATAATTTTCCAAGTGAAACTTTTTGCGGAAAACCTATTACAAGAATTAACGAAATTCCGCAAATAATGATAAAATCATGTTACAATTATTTATTTTTGGCTGATAATATCAATATCTTTTCCATTCCATTCTTATATATAAAATAAAATGATTTATAAGAATAGAATGAGTGACAACATAATTAATCACATTACATTTACAAACTTATTACATCATGGGTGTGCTTAGGTAAAAATTTACATGAAATGAATTTAAATTCATTGAAGTTTCATAAAAAATAAATATTTTAGGGTAGAAAATAATTGTTTGATTGAGAAATCAAGTAATTCATTAATCCGAGCCAATGTTAATGTTAAAATATTCGATCTGAATGTTTCGGTAATTTGCCATTCTTCATTTGCCTTTGCAAAAGTCGAAAAATTTATTGCAACAAAAAATTTAGAAAGCATTCAAATCTGGGGATTCCTTGATGCGTATTCCTTGCATTATGTAGATTTGAGTGTTAGTAATTTAACAAAAATAGAATCCTATTCATTTCAATCATGCTATAAACTAGTTTCAATTTCATTTCCACCTACAGTCAAAGAGATTGGAACAAAAATTTTTATGGATTCTCCAA